CCATCACCACCACCACCAGCCTGCACAGTGGTAACAAATCATGATGGATCCATGTTCGCATTCAGTTTACGCCAAATTCTGACTCCTCTGTCTGAATGTCTCAATAGAAATCGAGACTCATCAGACCAATATTTTTCCAGTCTTCAACTGTCCAATTTTGGGTGTTGATTGCGATTTCACTTTTTTCATTTTAAATAGTGTGTAATGTTGCTGTTGGTGCATGAATAGTATCTGCAACGTTGCAGAGCTGAAAGTTCTCTGCTTACAGCAGAGATATCGTCTTTTAAAAATCAACAATTATATTGCCTACAAAAACAATCAGTTGCTATTGTTGCCAGTCAGGTTCTATTATGTAAAAAAAAAACATGTATAAAGTTAAAAAATGTAGCAAATTATCATTCAGAAACGTTTAGTAAGAACCGTGTGTGGTGAGGTTCTGTTTGACTCTTTCATTGTGGCTTTCTCGGTCTGATTCTGCCTCAAACTGATACTGCAGTTTGACACATATTTACATCTGGACCGGAGCTCACGTTTCGCCCGTAAAGGTAATGGGCGTTAATCTTCCGGACAACGTGAGCGACAGTTTAGCCAATCACAACACACCGGGCCAAACTAACCAATCTGAGCCCACTGCCTGTTTCTGAGGGAGTGGTTTCATAGAATCAGGAAGTCGACTGGTCGTTTGGGGACAGAGGAGAGCGCGGCCGACAATTAGGTTGAAGTTTATGAAAAATAAGACTTTAAAAAAAAAAACACGAATACATGTTATATTGCACCCCATAAATACAACCATGCAAAGAAAAAAAAGGCAGTCAACCCCCCCTTTAAAAGAAAGATTTTTTCTTGACAGTATTTTGCGGTACATGTACCTTTTATCTTATCCCATTGTACTTGAACTGCAAAATCACAATACTTAAAATATGACAAATGTGCTTATTCAGCAGCGATGTCACAAATCAGTGCATGCAGTAAACGTATGGTGCTTAGAGTAAAGAAATTGATCACTAGAATGTATGTATAGTAAATACATTAAAATGGCACTACATGCATGTTATATTGTATTATGTATGTTATAGGCCCTCATTCAGTTTTATTTGAAGACATCTGCTCTACACTGATACATAGAAATTTATAGTGAATTATATTCACCCATGTTTTCTACAAGCATTGAATGTGTATATTGCGCACTTTGTGAGCTCAATGTCACTATGAAAGCCCTTATAAACACATGTTAATGTAGAATTCCCAGATTGGGCATTATTTGAGCATAAAGTCGCCCGTTCTCTCTTCCGGGTTTTTAACGCTCACGTATGCGACAATCTCTTGCTCTATCAGCACGTCCGGTGCATTAATGGACTGTGTGAGCCATTGATTTCTAATTACACTGAAGTCCACTCTGGGGATAAATATTGTGTGCCGCGGCCATCTTGTGGCTTATTGTAATCAGAGTGAGTATTGATTGACTGTCCGGGATGCAGAAGTAATCTGTTTTAAATACACTGGGACCAGAGTGAATGGGGCAAAGCGACCTGTGCTCTGACTGTGGAATGTGTTCGGGTTTAGTCCTGTGAGAGACGTGGATCAACTGATAGGAACTGCAGTGCACTGCGTGCTGACTCACACTGAGTGAGAGAAACACTGTGTAGCCTGTATGCATGTGGCCTCTGCTTACAGCCAGGACTCATTGTCAATGAAAATAGTTGTGACAAACATTTGTAAATGTTTTAATGTGGTGCAAGCACTTTCCTTGTTTGCAGATACAGCCGTGCAGAAGTCAAGATTATTTAACCTGAAATTTACATTTCCCTCCTCTCTACCTCAGCTCTGCAAACGCAAAGATAATTGCATTTTGATAGACGATTAATGTTAATGTAGGCTCATTAATCTTTGAAAAGCTCTTAAGACCATGTCTTTCGTGAGATGTACCTGCTGCAATGTGTGCAGAGGAAAGAGGAAGGCAACAGAATGGCTGCCAGTCGTGGTCATTTGATCTGATTGATTGTCACTTCCTTTATTAATACGCCTCTATTGCTAATCAATGCTGCATTTATTTGACAAAAAAACAGTAAAAACGATACTTGCGATGATCAATTGAATGTATCATTGCTGAATAAAAACATTCATTTATTATTTTTTTTAATATAACTGACCAGAAATGTTTGAACAGTAGTGTTATGCCTATGTGTTACAGTCCTGTAATAATGTGGTGCTGTGGGTGAGTATGAAGAGGAGGAAGTGATTTTTTTTTTTCTTCAGCAAGCACAGAGGATGTAATCCCCACACCATTTTCTCAGATTACACTGCTTGCTGGGGAAAGATTGCATATGCATGGCATAAAGAGATTTGTTCCCTCCTCCTTCACAGTTCTGCACACGTTTGTGTATTTTAAAGCATACCGATTAGCATTTCTCCCGTGATACATAATGAACACCATTGGCCTGCACTGACCTCAACCCTGAGGGACACTAAGGTTTTATTGTTTAATTTATCATATCCTACCAATCCCATTCACAATATACCCTTCTGTGGCTTTACTAGGTTAGACCATCAATTATTACTGTAGGAAACAGGTTATCAGGTTATCCAGTGTAGTTTTGAATGCAAAGATTGTCCTGGATGAATTATGTATATTTTTAATGGATATGATACAATAATATGGCGCCATATTGGCTTTATGTCTCACTGATTTTATCACAATGCATAATGCCTTGGAATCCTGCCTCTATAGGCAGAGAACATTTGTTTTATAATAGAAAAGAACTGTCATAATAAATGAGCAGTCTGAGCAACATATTATTCTTTTTTTGACTCTTCTTAGTAAAGCATTATCCTCTTTCCCCGCTTAACCCAAACCCATTTGAATATGGTTGTAATAAACCCCTCTTTCAATTCCCAGACTGCTTTAGCCAGTCCACTTATGTATTCTCGGCTCATCTTAAATTGGGGGATATCTCTTTCAGAGCTGCTGCCATCATGTTAATAAGTACAGTGGGAAACGCACTCTCAGATCTGAGTCTAGACTGTTGACATGCATTCATTATACGTTTTATGTGAAACTTTTTATTTCCCAATTAGAATTGATCTCTCTCTTAGGTGTATAACCATGTTATTAACTTCTGGGAAAATGAAAAGAATATCCAGCAGATTTGGCTAAATACCCTGACTATTGTCTATCGTCTGAGAACTCTAGAAGGAGAGTAGGGAATAATAAGGTCACTGATGTACCTTATTATGGGGGAGACCAAAATATAAAGAATTGCAATAGTCAATATTTGATTAAATAAAAGTGAGCCACAATTTCCAAATCCTTACTGGATATAAAATGCTTTACTTTAATAATTGATCTCAGGTTAAAAAAGCTACCGGCACCAATCTGTTTATTAAAATTTAGTGATGAGTCTGTGATTATCCCTAAACTCTTTACATGATCTTCCGTCTTTATGGACAAGGAAGCTAAATGATCATCAAAAATAGGTAAAATGGGAGAGCCGACAATCAAAACGTCAGTTTTACTCTCATTTCATTGGAGAAAGTTGCTAGAAAGCCAAAGTGTAATGTCACTGTAACATTCCTGTGCTTTGTCCAGCAAACAGGCTTTATCTAAGCTCACAGGAAAGTAAAACTGGAGATCGTGGTATAACAGTGGTATGAAATACTATACTTCCGAAAAATAGAACTTAGAGGAAGCATATACAGAGAGAACAGCAACGGTCCTAAAATAGACCCCTGGGGAACACCACAAACTAAAGGGGCCAATGTGGAAGAAAGCGTACGATAAAGTTACAAAAAGCACATAACAAAAATACTTAAGCTAAATTTAATAATGAAAATATTCAAATATATATTAATAAATAATTCAGTTTGATGAGTAGTCTCGAGTTGTCATATAGCTTACATGGGAGTAGGCGTAAAAAATAAATATCCCAGTAGACTGAATTTACATTCACCGTATATGTAATATTAGATTCATTTACTTAACCAGTAATCTGCTAACAAAGTACTTCAGTGCAAACATACACATACACAATATATGATGCACTGCCAACTTGCAGGTGATGTAATATGCTATCTTCCTATGAATGTATTCTCCGAGATGTTTTATATTAAAAGCACTTGTATCCAGACTCTTTCTGTGATGACAGACACAATCTTCTCATCTCAGAGAGCACCTGTGATGACCTACACTGGACCTCTCAAATTGTATTTCCCCACTTTTACAAGCTCCCTTTCACTATCTCACTCTTTTAAACCATTTTGCCACATGCTGTCCTTACCTCTCTACCAATCACATTAAGATTTAAATTTCTTCCAGCCACCAGCTCAAGGACACTTGAAAGCCCCGTTGGAAGGAAAAGTAGAGAGGCTATTTTCTTGCGAAAGGCCTCCATGCTGCGGTTTGGACTTAAATCGATTACATGCATTGTTCGCTCCTCCAGAAAATTGATGTCTGGAGTTTTCATTGTTTTGCGATACATGGCCATGCCTGAGAAGAGACTCATTGCTTATCATTGTGAACAATCGCCAATAATAATTCTGTGACTTTTTTTTCTAGTATAATCCCTCCACAAAGTGTCTTTGAAAAAAACAAACAAACTTTGATTTTAGTGCTAATGCCTTCTTCCTAATGCTGCCTTCTATATTAAGGATATCATGATGAAACTAATGCAGAAGTACATGAACTTTAAAAGCTTATGAGAGATAATGATGGTATTATCATAAATCTAAATGTGTATTTTGCAGTAATATTTTGTAGTTGTCACAGATTGTGTAGGTAAAGGAAGACGAGAAGTCCAATATTCCAAAACGACAACTTTTACTTACAATAAACAATGTGATACACTTTTTTTTCAGAATGAAGTAATAGGAAATTACTTGTCATCCACATTTTTATATCAGCTATGCATTATGTTATTTTATTGAATTGGCAAGTTTTGTCGGTTGTCACACAACAGTTAAATTATTGCCATATTATATAAGTGTGTGTATGTGTGTTGATGCAGGGTATGATGTACTTGGAGGAGAGGAGACTTGTGCACAGGGATCTGGCGGCTCGGAACGTCCTAGTGAAGTCCCCCAACCATATAAAGATCACTGACTTCGGCTTGGCTCGCCTTCTGGATGCAGATGAGAAGGAATACAACGCAGATGGTGGAAAAGTCAGTGTCACATGAACCCAACAAGACAAAGGGCATGCACTGAACCAGTTAATATATGCTCTTTGTGTTGGAAGTCAAAAGATTTGCTGCACTCTTTGTCTTTGGGTTTTAGAACACATCTTATGACAGGCTAATTAACAATCCTTAATAATGCAGACTACAAGACAGAAGATTATTGCTCTGCACGCTTTCAAAGACTCATTGCTATAAGGGTCATGTTGGTGTGCACTTTACATGACTACCCATAGACTAGTCTTATTATTGTGTATTTATTGAGTATTATTGTGGCTGGGAATAGTCTTGGCATGTGACTAAGAAATGTGTGCTTCTAATTTTCTGAGTGATCAAACTTACGGTTTTCACCTGGCGAGAAAATGGGCAAAGAAATTCTGTATAGATACATTTATTTCCAGAAATTCATTGTACAAAATATATGCAAAATGTTTTACGGGTATTATGGAATGGCATATTTATGCCTGTATTTTACATATTATAATCAGATTTTTCATTAAGTAACAAACAGCAAAATTGGCTTTTACCTCAATAATCACCATAGAAATGCAGGTTGTAAAATATAAATACACATGATGATTCAAAGTTCACAAAACATTGTCAGTATATATGATGCACAGGGTCATACACGCAAAGACAAAACACCATGAGGGTACCACACTAAAAATAATATAATAAATAGTAACTAAATAACAGAAAATGTAAAACAAAACACCTTAATGTTACACTACTAATAACAAAAATGAGAAGAAACTCAGCTGTTTATGTTCAATTTCATCATATGTGATCATATGGAATAGCCTTTTACTGTAAATTATATGGAAATTAGGGCTGTCAGTTTAACGTGTTATTAACGGCATTAATGCAAACCCATTTTAACGGCGTCAATTTTTTTATCACGCGATTAACAGCCTTTTTGGCCTAGCAAACTTTGTAGTTTTCTTTCACATGCTTTTGCAACAGGACGCGGCATGCGCACACTGTGCTATGTATGAAACCCATTCATTTCAATGGCTTGCGCCGCTAGAGTACGTTTTGTTGTTTCTTCGACCAAAGCGCAAGCGGATCTAGCTAGACCGTAAACAAAACAACAGGCATGCCGCACACACTCGTTTGGGCTTGCGAGCCGGCCAAATAGTTGGTTAACGTTACGTTTTGAGTGAATGACGAGCGCGAGACGCCGAAATAGATGCTATTAAGATTCTAAATGGAAAGTTTACTTTTAAAAAGTTGCCAAATGGTTCCATTGACAAGACCAACGTGATCTGTGTGTTTTGTCGTTGTGAACTGAGCGATCATCATCGCAGCACGTCCAGTCTGAAATGCCACCTGATGATGGCCAAGCACACACACACACACACACACACACAGCTGATGCAAATTCTCCACCCCCTTATCAATATCAGGACCTCGTCAGTATTTCGGTCACCCTTTTATTGATGGACAGTGTTACATTGTCTGCGAGAGATTATTTGTTCCAAGTGAGAACATTAGTGTGAAATTGAACACAGTATATGCCAATGTTGTTTTCAATAAAAAACATTTGCACAAAGCAAGCCGATCCAGTTTTCCATGTTGATAAGAGCATTAAAATGAGAAAAAAATAATGGGACAAAAATAAATCAATAGACATTTAGAACAGATTAAAATGTGCGATTAATCGCGAGTTAACTATGACATTAATGCGATTAATCACGATTAAATATTTTAATCGTTTGACAGCACTAATGGAAATACATGTTTTTTACCGCAAAAAGCAGTAACATTACATATAATGTGACAAAACATAGGTTAATGTGTCATACCTGGTAAAATCGGGGTTATGGCCAAAATCTAGCTGTGTCGATTGGTTCATTCTTAAGCCGTTTATGAGCGGAAAAGAAAACGGTTTAATGCTTTTAAACGTGCATGTTAATGCACTTGATCTGATCGTATCCTTCTGAATCTCCTTCTTGTTGCCATGCTGGAATAGAGCATCCTGGGACTCGCTCGTGCTCCGTTCAGCTTTAACCAGCTACCATTTTAAATCAGCCATGACTGTTTTTCCACATAGGAGAAACTTCAAACCTCTTGGAACTCTAAAGTGTTAGTGCAGTTTGATACCCAGCAGCTCTGCACACACACATTTAACCCAACCTGTTTCTTATGTTTCCCTTTAAAGCAAAAGATGAAAAGATATCACTGATTATTCCATTTCTGAAATATTAACTTACCAGACCTAATAAATAATGCATAAGGTTTGGTTTTAGCGGGGTAAGCTTTGAAAAAACTTTGTCAAGTTTCGTAAATAAACAATAATTAAGTTTTCAATACTGACTGTGCTCACTTGAACTTTATTACATTTTCATGTACTGTGTCATTGTGTGCTTTTTTTATTCAACACAAGCCGCTGAAATGTTCCCTATTGTTTTTTTAGATGCCTATAAAGTGGATGGCCTTGGAGTGTATACACTATAGGAAATTCACTCACCAGAGTGACGTATGGAGTTACGGTGAGATTAGCCTTAATTACAGTTACATGCCTTAGTAAAATGTCCCAAGTGGACATTTTTTTTTTTTTTTTTTTTTTTATGCATCCAAACTCTGTATGAATTGGGCAAACAGCCTTAGCACATGCCTACAAGCTTTTTAATTTGTTTATTTATTTATTTATTTATTTTTTCCAGGAGTGACTATCTGGGAGCTGATGACATTTGGAGGAAAGCCGTACGATGGAATCCCTACCCGAGAGATCCCTGACCTGCTGGAGAAAGGAGAAAGGCTTCCTCAACCTCCTATCTGCACTATTGACGTCTACATGGTCATGGTCAAATGTAAGATAGCTTTGCACAAATTTTCATCCCAGATTGTTTATTTATTTTTCAACTGTGAGTGTAACACGTTAGCGCATGTGATTAATTCAAAATCCTTGAATGCAGTTAAAATAAGTGAACGTAAATAAATTACTAAAGCACATGAAATTGTGTCATTAACGTAATTTGCATGACCAGTTGACTACATTTGAAGTTTGAAACAACATTTCTCAGCTGGATAAAGCAAAGCAGCATCTCGCTAGTAAAGTTTTGATGGATAAGGATTGCGATGAAGGTAAAGACGATTGCCGTGACATACAGTAGACAGGAATCATACAGTAAGCATGCATGAGTCTGTTATTGATCCACTAACTAACAAACAAACCATGTTTGTGCGACTGCGCTGATCGCACATTGTATTTATGCACAGACACATTTCAGTACGTTGTTTCCACACACATTTGTGATAATGTTATGATTTGTCAAGTGTATGTGCTGTGTTTAGTAATTCTGAACGGATCCATTTAATGTTGAAGGCATATGAAGTCGGGTCAAGGCAGTTGATTTAGTTCTTTCTTCGGCATCTCCATGTGTTCCTGTTCTGTATCGAAACTTGACTCGTCTAAAATATAAACAAGCTCTTTGCTGTTGCGTTGTACATTTTCCTGTAATGATTTTGGTAACACTTTACAATACGGGTGCACTAATAAGCATTAATTCATGCATAACTAATGCACAGATAATCATGAGTTAATGTATAACTCATGAAGAACTAAACCATTAATCAGTCCCTCCAGGATTTCACGATTTTTTTTTTGTGATTTTTGCGATCAAAATGACTGATTTTGTGGTGGTAATTTCCAAAAATTTGTGAAAAAATTTGCGATTTATATTTAACATTTACCATAGTAGTATTCAGTCCTTCCAGAAAAACACGGAGGTTTTTTTATGATTGTTGCGGGCAAAAATTTATTGATTATGCGGCCAGTTTTCTTTAAAAATGCGATGGAATATGTGGGATATTTATGCAATTTTATGCGATGAAATTGCTGGAATTTACAAAAATTGAGGGAACTTGCAAAAATTGCGGTTTGATGAAAAAGAGAAAAAAAGTGATTCCCCCAACATCCTGTTAATATAAGAGTCATTTCTTATTACTTCCTTTGATAAGCAAGCATACTACATCATAGAAAGTGCTGGGAATATTTAATTTCTCATCTTGTTTTATTTCAGACTGTAAGAGTGTAAATAAGGTGTGGCCCCTTTAAGAGCTGCGCGCTCCCTGTTGAACTGTCGAACACCCCATGTGTGCGGGTAATTTCTGTTTGATGCTACTACTTTTATCTTATGTTGTTTATTAAGTAACAATGTGACAGTAGAACGTTCGACAGACAGATACGAGTTCGATTTGTGAGATGTCAATCGCCTCCGTGAGTCTGTCTGGCGTCGCGTAATTGCGTCACTTCATAACGTTCCCATGGAAACAGGGGGAAATGGCTGCTCTTATGTGAAGCAAACGCAACATTTTTCAACTTTCTGCTAAGATACATGTGACTTTTTTTTGCAACGAAAATGCGAGGATTATGAAATTATGCAAACCCCGCATATTTTGCACGGAAATCGGCAATTTATGTGGCGAAAGTGAGGCGTATTTGAAAAAATGCGGCCCCCGCATAAATATGCGGACTTTGGCTGATTTTGCATTGAATTCAGCGATCGCATAATCGCGTTTTTCTGGAGGGACTGATTAATTAAAGATTACTGCATCAGCAACTAATAGAGAGTCCATATGATTAATAGATTAAGTAATACATGAATTGCTATTAATTCAATGTGTCATTGCGTATTAATTCCTTAATAACATATTTTACGAACTAATAGTGTAAATTAATGTGTTAATTACCACAATTAGTCAAAGCTATGCACTTCAGTTTCCAGTTGTCTGCTTTAATTAATCATTAGCTAATGATTTGCAAAGGTATCTTTATGTTATGACTTTACTTGTTGGGGCACATTATTATTAACTAGTCATTTAGTGATTGTAGTAATTTGCACATGAATTTGCAATAACAATAAAGTAATTAATCATGTATTAATGCATATTTGTGTACCAGTCATATTATCTGGAAGTTGAAATACAAGGCTTTGGCTCATTCTGGTAATTAACATATTAATTTACGCTATTAGTTAAAAAAATGAGTTGTAATGGAATTAATCCACAATTACATATTTAATTAATAACAATTCATGTATGAACTTTACATTAACCTTACATACTCTTAATTAGTTCCTAATGTGGTAATCATTAATGGATAGCTTAAATAATCATTAGTTACACATTAATTCAGTATTATCTGTGCATTAGTTAAGCACGAATTAATGATTATTAGTGCCCCCTTATTGTAAAGTGTTACCATGATTTTTGACTGTTTGTTATTTGTTTTTATGGGTGTGCATAAATGTATGAATTATATGGACTTCTTATTTTGGTTATTTGATGTCCAAAAAAAGTTTGCAGAAATCAAGTGCTGTGTCAGTTGACTAACGGCGGGACACGTTAGTCAAGCTCGCATCAGCTTACTCTCAGCTGATCCACTTCTACCTATAGGAATGCGACGCCTATCACTGTATACATATATAAGCTCCTTTAGTATTTTGAGCAGCTATCGCGTTTCTCATGAGCTCATTACCCTCCTCCATCCCCAGCTCCTCCTCTCGCCAGTCAGGGTTTGGCATTCTGATTCCCCCCGAATCTGAATAAATTCTATAATTATGTTGTCATTAAAATGGATGCACAGGAAGTTCTCGCCCAGTTTCCCGTACAATGACGTAGTTCGCAACTTCACTACCATAGTACGATACATTGTTAGAGAAATCAAATTTCACGACTGTTTCCCGAAACCCACTGTCGCAAAGTATCGTTCAACCACGTTGGTTCCGCACGTGGTGGAGTAATAACTACTTTTAAAGAAACTGTTTGAGATCAAATTAACGCTAGATTTTTAAATATAAATTACAGACATGTCATCTAAGGACTATTTCTAATTGTTCTCAGTTGTTTTGTTTTATTACCAGACTCAATATTTGGCTCGTTCTTACATAGTAGAGCACGTTCGCACATGCGCACTCTTCAGACATGGTACTTTTGAGAAAATCTTTTGAAAAACTAAAAGTCGTAAATTACATTTGTATGTATTCTAAATAAAAGGCACCGGTTGTACTGAATGTCAGCTTGCTTATTTTGCTCAAGATAAGGATTTATTATGTCCAAATGTGATGCAATATAGAAACTATGTCTCTAACCACAGGTCGAGAGCTGTCGTTCAAACCACACAACTTTGCGATGCTGTTTGCGAATGTTCGTTGGAACGATTGTTTCGGGAAACACCGACTTGTTGAAGTATGCGACCATAGTTGGCTAACGATGCTTTTGGGAAACGCACCCCAGAATAGAACCATACCGCCAGTCCAAACTGTATGCTTATTTTCAATCGTATTTGACGATAGTGGTCCTAACAGAAACACAGTTTTATAAGAAAAATGAATGTGTTAAACAAGATAAATGGTGTATGCTTAATTTCACGATGAGTGAGCAATTAATCGTGATTAAAATCGTGATTCTTAATTCATTAAAAATAAAGACATGTAAAATTGTTTGTAAATCTAGAGGAAATATTTAGTTATGCGCTAATCAAAAGCATGTGGTACGTTGATACTGTACTCATCATCTTCTTTTAAATGTATTGCTCACTGCATTGTTTATCCATTTTGGTCTACTTTGCTGACTGAAGTTGTGCTATGTGTGCCCCTCCAGGCTGGATGATAGATGCAGACAGCAGACCAAGATTTAAGGAGCTTGCAGCAGAGTTTTGCCGAATGGCAAGAGACCCACAGCGTTACCTAGTCATCCAGGTAAGAGCTTTACAGCTCGGCACAACTGACCATGGTTGTGATGAGAGTCAAGGATGTTAAGTTCAGTTCAGTTTATTTATAGAGCACACTTTAAAAAACAAACTGTTGACCAGTATGCTATACAATGATAAAATCTATAACAGAAAAAAATGATAAATAATACAAGTATCATAAAAGTGTTATTTCTCTGCATACTGCATAAATATCTGAAGTCTGATTCTCTCTAGAGATGTATAGTAACGAAGTAGAACTACTTAAGTACTGTACTTAAGTACTAAAATGCTGTATCTGTACTTTACTAGAGTATTGTTTTTTTTCTCATACTAGAAGTTTACTTTGACTTCAGTAGATATTTTCGATAAATTTAATACTTTTACTTCGATATTTTTTGATGTTCTGCTAGTTACTCGTTACAATTATAAAAATGTTACGAATCATTCGCTGCAAGTTGGCTTTCATGCTGACTAAATCACACGCCAGTTTTATAGGGTAATGGGATTGATTGACACACACATTGACTACTAATGCAGGGGTTGTCCTGCAATGACATTTTTTTGGCGGCCGCCAAAGCAAATTTGTATCCCGCCAAAGCGCCTTATTTGATTGGTAGTTCAAACTTTTGACTGCTTTCTTCAATAATTACATGACACAATACTTGTACTTCTACTTTTAGTACATAAGTAGTGAATTTTAAAAGAAACTACTTGCAATACTTGAGTACAAAAAATGTTGAATACTTTAGTACTTCTACTTAAGTGCGGTGCTTAAAGAGCTCTTCAACTTCTACTCAAGTCACTTTTTTGATAGAGCACTTGTACTTTTACTTAAGTCTGGGTTTCTAGTACTTTATACATCTCTGATTCTCTCTGTGCCAGGGGGACGACCGCATGAAGCTGCCCAGCCCCAATGACAGTAAGTTCTTCCAAAGTCTGCTAGATGAGGAAGAACTGGAGGATCTGATGGATGCCGAGGAGTATTTAGTGCCACAAGCCTTCGGTGTTCCTCCACTGGCATATACAACCAGATCACGCATGGACCCCAACAGAGTGAGTGTACTCACAGTTTGTTCACTCACACACAGTGTCTTTAGGTTCAGTAATTTAATAAACCATGCTCTGTCGAAGACAGTATATTGCATAGACGGTCCACTTGTATTACAATAAATGGGGGAAATTGAAATGCTCAATTTAGGCTACTCTTGTAAAGGTAAATAAATACCCTGCCTTTTGTTTGGTGCTGCAAAATGTGAATTGGCTAGACTAAACCTGAAATGTATTAAATATACTATATGCTTGCATGCGTGAGTGTGTGCGAGCGTTGTTATACACATTAGTGTTCAAAGGTTTGGGGTCAGTAAGATTTTTATTTTATATGAAATAATATTTTTATTCAGCTAGGATGCATTAAATTGATCGAAATATTTCCACATTTATTGATACAAAAACGATATTATTTCTGTATTATTCTGTAGTCTTTTGAACTTCCTATTCAGATGTATCATGGTTTCCATGAAAATGGTATAACATTGAGAGGAAGATTTTGGAGCACAAAATCAGCATATCAAATGATTTCTGTTGGTAAACTGAAATAATGGCTGCTTATAATGTATCAATGAAAATATATTAAAATAGAAAACTGTTTTAAAACACTTACTATTTATTACTATTTTAAACTGTAATATTCACAATTTCTCAGGTTTTCAGCAAATAAATCCAGCCTTGGTGAGCATGAGAGACCTTTTACAAAAACATTACTTCGTATTGACCCAAACTTTTGAACGACAGCACATTATAAACTTTAACAAGCAGTGTTTGAGTGTTTCCCCATTCAGTTATAGAGGTGCTGTATAACAGGCTTGAATGAATAGACTAGCCCCAAAGGTGACTTTGGGTTGGGATCTGTCAGGATTTAGTGGCTAAATCCGATTTTATTTTGTGGGTGCAGTTGTGTGAACTCTTTTAAAATCATTGGATTATCGTCATTTTAACTCTTTACAGTTCCTAATACCTCATCTGAATACTTTAAATCATGGTAAACCCCAAAGTTGGTGGTACTCTTCAGGAAAATTGTATTGAAAATAGCATTGAGTCATCAAATATTGAAATATTTTTTAAGTAGACTAAGGACAAGAGGTCGTTGATGCATTGACATATACATCATGCATGCGACACCTTCAAATTTGGGCGTTTTGCACATTTTTACATATTTTAGGATAGCTTTTACATTTTAATGCACTTTTACTTCTCACTCATGAATCTCTATTTATTGCTTGTCTGAGGCTGAATTGAGTTTTCAGATGAGTCTATCATCTAACTGACGTTGACCTTGGGGTGGATATATGCTCCTCTTCCCAATTAAGTACCGCCCACATAAGCATTTTAGAAATCCCAGGCCCCAGCACACCATTCCTACACCGACAGATGCTACTCTCCCTGAACAAACCTGTCTGCCGTTGAAATAAGGAATGCGATGACAACAAAAAAAGAAGTCTCGTTCAAATCATGAATAATTTCCCTTGGTGTATGGTGAATGGTATTGAAATGCTGAGATTCATTTTATTTTTTATTTTTAGGTGCTAATTTGTCTTCAGAAAGCAGCAGTGCTTTTGTAAGGTGCATTAGGGTTTTCCTGTGGAGTGGGGGAGAAAAATAAAGTGGCCCTCACATGTGTGCCTATAATGGGCTCCATGCCTGGGCTTTCATTAAAGAGGCATGCCAGTGTAAATAACTGGGTCCTCACTAAAGTGAAGTTGATATTTGCCCATCGACAGGAAGACCAGAATGGGTATTTGCTCTGTGTTAGGCAGCCATGAGCATGTTATTAACTGTTGGTGTGTACAGCGGCAATGGAAAAGGACAGCCATTTGGGATGCCGCTTGATCAGCTCTTAACTGTAACTTAGAAAGACAAAATCTCAGGGTTCAAACATTCTTTACCAGGGACTTATGTGGATTTGAGAGTGTGTGGGAGGGGTGGCTGTGATGAAATGTTTCCTTTTTTCTCCTGGACCATGTTCGCTAACCATGTGTGCCATTTTGCATTCTAACTTGCGTTTTGTTTTTGTCTAACTGGGAGAGAAAAGAGAGTGAGCGGTATGAATATCAATGAGGGACATCAATCCTTCAGAGCCTCTTTGGAACATTACAGAAATCTTTCGCCTGCAGTTTGCCGTATAAACTGAGCTTTGGGAAAACAAAACTCTGCCAAATAACCCAAACAGCGGAATGCAATATTAACTCAAATTCATCTCTACTCAAAATGTTGTGAAGTTTGAGCATAATGGAAAAAACATTTGTGTGTGTGTGTTTCAGCTCCGCTTTGGTTGCATAGTTAAGTTTAATGGAAAACTAGGGAAAAAATGCAGGTTTGGCTTTTTTTTTTTTTTTTTTTTTTTTTTTTTTTAGGTTTGGCATAAACATTACCAGCTACTTTATTCAACGTTAAAAAAAACAAAAAAAGTATGCAAGTACAGCTGTGTGGTATGATCGAAAGTACCATGCGATGGTAGATATCTGTGTATATTAAATTAAAGTAAATATTGAAAAAAAAAAAATTGTTCATTATTCATTTGTGTATTAAGTAATTATATTTTGTATATATTTTTAAATATTTATTTGTATTCCTTAGATATTTGATATTGTATTAATCATTTATTGAATCATTATTAAATAAATTGAATAATTTATTTACAAGATTATTGTCACAGTCGTCGTCTGCACCATCCTGTCTTCACTACACATCTCCACACCTGAACTCACTCCCTCAATTACCCACCTGTTCTTCGTCTTCATCGTCTGTGTCACCTGTGTTCACCTCATCATTGTTCATTAGTATTTGTATTTATGGTGCGTTCATGTGCTATGGTAATTATGGTAAATGCCAAAAGCCGACATGGAAAATGCACATGAACACCCCCGCACTCGTAGAATATTTTGATGGACGAGTTGCCGAGATGAGATAACCTTTGACCATTTCAAAATGGCGGAGAGCACCGCGAGAGTTGTGAATGGTAAAAAATATATACTATTCATGATTTAGAAAATATACAGCATATTATTTACCTTCTTGCTGTTGCAGATGACTTAAGCAATCTAAAATAGTTTTAGCTAAATAATAGGTCTGGGTCTCCATCTTTTTACCACATTACGACAACAAAAGCACTTGAACGCAACACACTGGTAAATACCAGTTCACAAGTAGAAAATATCCTATTTTCCATAGCAAGTGAACGCAGCATTAGTCTCCTTCTGTTCAGTTAGTCTTTTTCGGTTGTTGTCTATGTAACGTTGTGATTTGTGTATGTATCAATAGAGTTAAATTATAAGTAAACACTTTGTATTGGATCCTTCCTTGTCTTCTTCTGCCTGCATATACACCCTGACTATTATCCAGTAATATGCTTTACCCCGTATTTATTGAAATATAAACTTTACGTTAGTTTATTGTAACTTTCCCCCACATAATTAGGTACTACCATGGTTTTGGAATGGTATATATCACACTATAAATAAATACTGCTGATAACCATATAAATACCATAATGAATGAATATGGCATGGTATTGTTTGGTACCATGGTATATTTTAAAGGGGTCATGAACTGGCTTTTTAAATTTTATTATATTGTTGTCTAAGGTCAACTTATGATGTGTGCTTGGTTTTTGCATTCAAAAACATCAAAATGAATAAGTAATAGGCTATTTTGTACCCTAGTTTTGAGCTTAGCTGAAAAAACGCTCGGTTTTTATGGGCGTCTCGCACTGAAGACTTGGAAGTAAAAGGAAGTAAGCTGTGAGTGGACAACAGTTTTGCATATTATAATGAGTTTCAACTCACCCGTCGATGCACTTGAGGGAAATTGTTTTGTTGATCTTTTCTGCGGGGGTGGTGTTTTATCCTCTTTAACGTCATAGTTCCCCACTTTGAAAAACAAGTCGTTTGCTGAGCCTGGTGTCAATAAAAGCTTTTATTGGACTAACAAGGACGTTTTCAGTTCTGAAACTTAAAGGATATTCTTATAATATGATGACCTCTTAGATGTCAAAAGCTCAAGGAAAATTTGATTTCTCAGTTCATTACCCCTTTAAAGTACCATGGTATTAGCATAAGATAGCGTAAAAAAAATTGTCCCGGGTGACTGCGTGAATTTATGCAACAGTTTTGCCAACACAAGTTCAAAGCGAGACTGAAAAACAAAGACAAGCAGACGGAGAGAATCTGAGGATTAGGAATAAGAAAAAAACAAATAGATTAATTGTGATGTGATTTCTAATTGCATCAGGAGAGCTGTGCTCCTACACTCGCGTCTGTTCATTCACTGATGCCAAGTTTTCATTAAATCTCAAACTGTATTAATATTTGGAGACTTGTTAGTATAAAATATTTGCTGCTTGAAATATTTAATTGTAAAGCAAACAGAAATAGATCACTGAATAGATACTAAAAGGCTTGTTTGTGTTTCTGCAGAACCAGTTCGCATACCAGGATGGCAGCTTCGGCATGGAGGAGATGATGGCCACTATCCCACGGGTCGTGGCTGTGTCCGCGGTCAGCCCGGGCTGTTCCGCTCAGAAGCAATCTATGGCCCAGCAGGGGCCTCAGGGTCCTCTGATGCATTTGAAGACAGCCGCTGTAATGGCACTCTCAGGAAGAAGGCTTCACCCAGGCGAGCACCGGGGAGGACAGCAGTGGCCAGCGGTACAGTGCAGATCCAACTGTGATACTGTGTGAGCGTGGAGCCCGAGCTGAGACCAACCAGGATGGATACATGGGCGCTATGCAGGACAAAAAGCCCTCAGGTACTGGAACTGGAGTGAGCAGGAGTGGTAGAGGAGATAGATCTAAAAGAGCTCACATAGAGATGTTACGCTTTATTCAAATTATTTATCCAGTGTCATTGGTAACTCAATGACCCCATGTCTTTGTTCAATATTCACAATGTTCATTCTTTTGCCCATTGGTAAGTGAATAATATGTAGATTTAACTTTGTAAATTGAAAACCCTGGTTTACAGTTCTTGCATATTTTACAAGGGTAATAATATTGCCTCAACAAATACAGCACAAAGCCTGTTTTAATAACTGTTTGTTCATCTGTGTAAATTTCACCAATTGTTTAAAGGGATAGATCACCCAGTGCCCCAACACACACACACACACACACACACATATATATATATATATATATATATATATATATATATATATATATATATATACTCACCTAAAGGATTATTAGGAACGGAGATGTAATTAGGCAATTTTGAGCGTGACATGGTTGTTGGTGCCAGACAGGCTGGTCTGAGTATTTCACAATCTGCTCAGTTACTGGGATTTTCACGCACAACCATTTCTAGGGTTTACAAAGAATGGTGTGAAAAGGGAAAAACATCCAGTATGCGTCAGTCCTGTGGGCGAAAATGTCTTGTTGATGCTAGAGGTCAGAGGAGAATGGTCCGACTGATTCAAGCTGATAGAAGAGCAACTTTGACTCAAATAACCACTCGTTACTATCGAGGTATTCAGCAAAGCATTTGTGTAGCCACAACACGCACAACCTTGAGGCGGATGGGCTAGAGCAAGAGCTCAACAAAATTGGACAGTTGAAGACTGGAAAAATGTTGCCTGGTCTGATGAGTCTCAATTTCTGTTGAGACATTCAGATGGTAGAGTCAGAATTTGGCGTAAACAGAATGAGAACATGGATCCATCATGCCTTGTTACCACTGTGCAGGCTGGTGGTGGTGTGCTGGTGTGGGGGGTGTTTTCTTGGCACACTTTCGGCCCCTTAGTGCCAAATGAGCATCGTTTAAATGGCACGGCTTACCTGACCATTGTTTCTGACCATGTCCCCCATCCCTTTATGGCCACCATATACCCATCCTCTGATGGCTACTTCCAGCAGGATAATGCACCATGTCACAAAGCTCAAATCATTTCAAATTGGTTTCTTGAACATGACAATGAGTTCACTGTAGTAAAACGGCCCCCACAGTCACCAGATCTCAACCCAATAGAGCATCTTTGGGATGTGGTGGAACGGGAGCTTTGTGGCCTGGATGTGCGTACCACAAATCTCCATCAACTGCAAGATGTTATCCTATCAATATGGGCCAACATTTCTAAAGAATGCTTTCAGCACCTTGTTGAATCAATGCCACGTACAATTAAGGCAGTTCTGAAGTGAAAGAGGGTCAAACACAGTATTACTATGGCGTTTCTAATAATCCTTTAGGTGAGTGTATATATATATATATATATAAATGCATGAGAGTGTGTAAATTAATTTGAATATCACTGATTTTTGTCTGTGGAACACAAAATAATAAAAACAAACACTGAAACAAATCCTAAAATATGTTATTTGGTGTTCCACAGAATAAAGTTAGTTCACCCCAAATTAAAAATTATCCCATTATTTACTCACTCTAAATCCATCCTAGATGTATACGACTTTCTTCATCTTTGCACATGTATTAAATCTACTTAAGTGTCAGTACCAGGCCTAGAACTTGAGAGAGCCTTCAATTGAGTGTGTGAAGAAAACCTGCTTAAATCAATGGTAAATCGCTGTTATCCTTAGAGCACTAGCTGGCACAATGTCCCCCACCTTCTCTCTTCTCGATGCTCTTTTCTTCTCTCGCAGATTATCTCAACCCCGTGGAGGAGAACCCCTTTGTCACCCTTCGCAGAAACGGAGAGGTCCACACTCTTGAGCGAGGTTACCACAGCACCTCCAATGGGCAGCCCAAGGTGGAGGATGAGTATGTCAATGACCCTCTGTACCTCAACACCTTCCATAACTCTGGAGAAAAGAGTCACGACGTTTTGAGGAAGAATGGGGTCCCTGTGGCACACACAGCAGTGGCAGCAGCAGTAGTAGCGGCAAATACTGTAACTTCCAACAGCCAAAATCTTTCTCAAACCATGCAACCGGCAGCACTCAGTGCCCACATCTCAACACAGCCACTGTACCAAGGCAAACAAAGCATTTCCACCCTCTCAGGCCACACCGTCCATTCTGCCCACCCCGGACACACCCTCCACCCAGCACACAACCTCCATCCCGCTCACTCGGGACCATCAAACCGACATAAAGCCCAAAAAGACATTTGACAATCCTGAGTACTGGCAGCACAGTCTTCCCCGAAGGCAAGTCTCCACAACCCAGAATATCTGCAGGACTGCAGCACACGCTTCTTCTATCGGCAAAACGGTCGGATCCGACCCGCCGTGGCGAGAACCAGGAGTACCTGTCAGAGTATGCGCTAAAACCCCGGCACCGTATTGCCGCCGCCTCCCTACCGCCAGAGGAACACTGTGTGTAGCAACAACGACCGAGACAAAGAAGGAAAGATGGAGGTAAAGAGAGAGTCGTAGTGTGCTCTTACCCTGGCTCTCACACCAGCATCCTGATCTCTCTGCTCTTCTCTGAACTGGATTTAACACCCAACCTCCAACAACCTGGAACTGATCCACTTGGGTGAGCTTCTCCTCCAGAGGCACTATGACCACATCAATCTGCTTGTCTCTCCTCACTCCAATCCCCATTAAACCTTCCGACCTACCTGACCCCAACTATCAGAAAGCGATATTGTTCCCAACATAAGGTAGATGTTACGCTCATCTCATTGGAAGCAAGTACTGATTATGACATGCAACGTGGGTCGATCCAATAGCAGAGAGGAGTCGATCAAATAGCGGAGAGGAGTCATTATTTTGTGCTATTATAGAAATGTTTATCTCATTTTGGGGATTTTGATTTGAAGCTATGATATGATCTGTTGTAATTTATGACTTTGGTTAGCATAGGGTTTTTTTTTAGCACTCCATACATGATTATATAAGGCAGATGTGTTGTACTGGAAATATCCTCATGGGCCCTGAGACAAGACGGCCCAAAAAGGTCCTTGATGTTGCCTAATAACTGAAACTCGTATGCTACATACAAACACATTATTGAGTCATCATTAGTGTGTTGTCGACCCGGACCACAACCTTCTCAGATGGCACATCCTCAAAAGACAACACATTATGTGATGTTCTTCTCATAATTCATCTGGTTTTATGCACATCATATTACTCAAACAAAGCACTTTTTATTACTTATATTGAGCCGCTCTCTCCTCCTTTTGAGTCGCAAGACTGGAACGATTCACAACCGGAGACAGTCCAGCGGACCGCATTAGACGTCTGTAAAACTACATGTGTAAAACAAATGTGATGAAAGAATAGTATCAGCCCGCATATGAACAAGGCCACAACAAAATCAATAACTTCATAAAAGCAGATCTGCAACAGTCTACTGTAATAACATTTTCATTGTTGATCTAGCCAGCATTGATCTGTGAGTTGTCACCTTAAGGTAGCCTTCCTTATTTTGTCATTTAATGTGTGGAATAAAAAACCCGGAATGGGTCTACCTTGAACTTTAGAAGCTAAAATCAATACTAGCGACCAATAGCATCCACATAGACGGATCTACTGCGTAGAATGGATATTTACACAGCGACAGAGGACCAGGTTTGCACGGAAGACTCGACAGATCACACAACGCCTGGCTCCTGTCCTGAAATATGGCCGGAAAACTGTTACAACTGTATAAATCTCGTCCACGTGCGAGTGGATATCCAGACTTGCTATCAAGATGGCAGCTTTTTGTAAAGCTGCAACAATGAGGGACATTTTGAAATCGAGAAGGTATGCGAAATCCATCATCATCATACAATGCTACGAGGAGAACATACAAATGGAATATTTGCCCCAGGGTTAGAGATGAGACTTCCTCAAATCTG